AAGTTCTGAGCAAAATCAGAGTCAAGGGAGCTTGTCTAGAAAAGATGGATCGGTTAAATGCTCGAATGGTATTAAATCTCTATCAGATTGTAAGCGGAAAGATGTTAAAGGATGCAGCAATAAACTTTCTCTGAGTCTATTCCCTCTGGAGTTGACAAGCAAGTTAGAGATCAGTGCAGAGGAAGTAGTCAGTTGCTATGAGTTGCCTGATGTCTTGGATAAGTTCTTGGGATGTCCATTTTGTTGTGGAACGGAAACGCAATCTAGTAGTAGTGACAGTCACTTGAAAGAAGCATCTAAGAGAAGAGAAGACAGAACTGGTAACTTTTTATACTACCCCAAAGTGATGGATTTTCAAGAAAACAATCTTGACCACTTTCAGACACACTGGAGTAAAGGCCATCCTGTAGTAGTTCGTAGTGTGTTAAAGGGTGGTTCAAGCCTGAACTGGGATCCAGTAGCCATGTTTTGTTGCTATCTTATGACCTTAAACAGCAAAACCGGCAATACTACTGATTGTATGGACTGGTGTAAGGTTAGTCCTTGTGTTCTGTGCTCTCTCTTTCTGAATTTTAATACCCTTTATCTCTTAATTGATTGGTTTCTTATTCAATGACAGGTAGACATTGACGTAAAACATTTTTTTTTGGGGTCTTTGAGTGGAAAGGCTGAGACTAATACTTGTCAAGAAAGGTTGAAGCTGGAGGGATGGCTTTCGTCTTCATTGTTTAAAGAACATTTCCCAAATCATTATGCTGAAATACTGAATATTTTACCAATTTCTCATTACATGGATCCAAAGCGCGGACTACTAAATATCGCAGCCAACCTACCTGACACTGTGGAAACACCCGATTTTGGTCCATGCCTCAATATTTCATACAGGAGTGGTGAAGAATATACACTGCCTGATTCTGCGACGAAGCTAGGTTTTGAAACTTGTGACATGGTAAGTTTTCGTAATCATTCAATTTTTGGAAGTGTTTTCCCTTATTTCACACACCTTCGTAGCTTTCCAAATTGAAGATTTACACTGATTGTTAGCTAAAAAAGTAAAACTGTGGCCAGTTAAGTTTCCTTTGGCTTTTCTGGTTTAACTTTTCAGATCTGCTTATATTTTTCTCAACCCTTGATTTGCTCTGCAGGTTGATGTCTTGTTATATGTCACAGAAACACGTGTATCTACTCAACAAATTTTTAGGATAGGAGAGCTTATGAAAAATATCGGAAGAGTAAGATCTAAAAACACAGAAACGGGGAGGGAGAGTAAATTTGATAAGGGAAAGAAACGAGATAGTTCTGAGGCATATGCTCAAAGAGATTGGTTGGATGACTATCCCGGTTCTGATTCAGAATCTTCACAACAGTGTTTAGGCACTAAATGCAGAGACAGTAAGTTTGAGGGAGAGGAAGGAGAACGTTGCAACAACTCTTGTGAAGAAGAAAGCCTAAGCAACTCTTATGGTGCCCAGTGGGATGTATTCCAGAAACAAGATGTTTCTAAACTTCTTGAGTATATTAAGAACCACTCTCACGAGCTAGAACCCAAGGATTCCAGCAAAAAAAAAGTAAGTTTTTGATTTTTGGTTCGATTGCTTCTACAAAAGATCAGTTGTTGATGTGCCCATATTTAGTAATTACCTGTTATGTATCATTTTGGCAGGTGAGTCATCCATTACTTGAGCAGAGTTACTATCTTGATGAGTATCACAAAGCAAGGCTTAAGGAAGAATTTGGTAAGTATCATATCCTCATTTCTCCTAGTTTTCTATCTTACCATTTCATTATGTCTGTAATGCATACTCATCACTCATTTTCATGCTGCTTATTTTGTTTGTTCAGATGTTGAACCATGGAGTTTTGATCAATGTGTTGGGGAAGCAGTCATTGTTCCTGCTGGATGTCCATACCAAAATAAAAAGAATAAGGTAGTATGTTCAGCACCCAGCACACTCTTTCCTTCTTTTTATATCATAAGTTATTATTAATCTTTTTAACATAACTCTTGCATATATTTGCTAGTCTTGTGTAAATGCGGTTGTGAAGTTTCTGTCACCTGAGCACGTTACCGAATCTATTAAGCGAGTGGAGGAGCTCAATCAACTTCCTCAGAGCGTCAAAACGAAAGCAAATAAGATTGAGGTAAATTCCCTTAGTTCAAAAGTCAAAACAAGTTTGAGTAAGAAAGGAGTGGTGATTATGTAAAAATATATTGCTGCAATATCCAGGTGAAGAAAATGGCGATCCATAAAATTCGTGAAGCTGTAAAGGAAATCCGAGAACTCACATCTAGGGATTCAACTGGTGCATCAAGATTATATAAATAGAGCTGGAGGTACCAACTTTGATTCTTGATCATTGATAATTTCTAGGAAAGATTCAGCTGTTGAGTTACAGTTTTAAGGAGTAGTAGAATGTAAACATATATAGAAATAAACAAACAAGAACAAAGAGAGCAAAAGGGAATTCATTTGCCATTCAGATTGTTATTGGGTGATGAATAATAAAGTGGAATATATATTGCTGTTACAAAAGCTATATACTGTATATGTTTACATATCTTTGGCTTGTTATTGACAAAATCTAATGATATATACAAAACTTAATTACAAATGCTTACTCTTTCGGGCTCATCTTGTTCTAAGAACAATCTTACCGTTTGCATCGTCATGGATAATTGGTAGGACTATGTCTGGAGGGTTCAGCTTCCAGACTTTAGGTTCCTGAAACTGATGTCCTAACTTAGCCAATTTATCAGCGACACGATTCCCTTCTCTGTAAACATGGCTCAACACGCAGTTGCTCAGCTCAGGCATAACCACATTGATGTACTTCACATGCTTTTTTGTCTCTTCACATCTCAATCTACCTCTCTTGGAGATGATATCCATTATGATCTTGGCATCTCCTTCAAGCCATAGATCTGTCCACCCGTTCTCTAGAACCAGCTCGAGCCCTCTTTTGAGGGCTGCGAATTCGGCCATGGTGCTTGTGGCTTCCCCTATGGATTCTGAGTATCCAAGAACAAACTCGGCTTTGTGGTTTCTGAATATCCCTCCAATGCTGGCTAGTCCTTCTCTTCCTCTCGATCCGTCAAAGTTAAGCTTTATCCATCCATTTTGGGGTTTCTTCCACACAACTTTAACAGGCTGCTTATAGTAGTTTCGGATTAAGAACATAGTAGCAGCCCGGGTTTGAAGCAACCCTTGATATCTAGCCATCTTTGTGAATGCTAACATCAAGTTAAACCTTTTCTGATAACCTGAGTTTTAGTTTTTGTAAGGATGGTGGACTCGGATTAAAGGATAGTGGTCACCTATATTACCATCATCTCGTTTAAGAAAGGCAATATTTGATGGATGGTAATGAGGGTTTGTTAAGGAAATGATCCTTGTGAGGAAAGCAAAGAATGATCCTTAATTGAATTGAAAGGGAACGAACATTTGGAGAATTGAATAAGCATTGTTTAACGAAGACAATTGAAAAACCTGAAACAGCTATATATATAATAATATGACTACTTTTGTCTTATCCCTAAAATACTGAGTGTCTCTCCTCAACCTCAGGAGTTCTCTATCTATCTTTCTCTCTCTAGAAACTTGCAAGCAAAGAAGGAATGAGAACAGAGTGACGCACATTTCCCGGGAACATAACTTCGTCTTCTTCATGAAGCAAAGATTCATCAGAATTAGAAGAAACCACTAAGAAGAAATGATTCAATATTACAAAAGAAAAATGGAGAACAGAACACTTGGCATAAAATGAGTCTTTAGTGTCCCAAGAAACAGAGCAATCCCATTCCAAGAATAACAATGTGTGTGATTACATGAAAGTGAATCTGAAGATCCTTTTTTGTTGGTCTCATGTGAAATTCTATCAAATCTCGATTCTGCCTTGTTGATCCATTGTTGGTTCTTCTTACCTCTTTGGCCTAACTTCCACAGGTTCAAACCAAACCAGAAATCTCAGAGTTAAAAAGGATCCTAAATTGACAAGTAAAATCAGCGAACCGAACCGTTTAGTAACAGCACGCAATCCGGAAATGCCGGTTATTACATTTTTGGACCCGGTCCGAGATTAATTCTTTAGTTCATAAACTGAACCGTCGTCCTCACTCTTTCTCTCAGCTTAATCCGCCGTCGCTGGTTCAAACGACGGTGGTATTGATGATCTTCACTGATTTGATATTTGATAATCCTACTAATTCGCGGAGCTCGTGGGCTCTCAATTTCCGTGAAATGATGGAGCAATCCCACACAGCTTCTCTGGAATCACGGGGACAACAAGCAAATGCGTCGAATTGGCTCACCATGGGAGCTTCATTCAACCTGATTCACGTTGCTGTTATTTCCAAGCAAAAGGGTTGTGAAAAGTATGTATTTTTGTCATTATATTACATTTGGGATTATGTTCCTCTCCTGAATATATAACGTGGTTTCTGGTTTGGAAATTTCTGGTTTTTCGAGGAAGAAGCTAGTGAAATTCCAGTTGAACTTCATGAAGCTGGAAAAATCTTAAGAAGATATCTCATTCCACCAAGTAAGATGATCTTAGATAACCTGCATCTCATAGGTATAATAACTTCAAATACAGCATGAGGAAGGGGAAAAAAAAGTTGGAGTCTATGGGATATCTTTAAGTAGTTTATTTCTCATTACTGGAAGATTAGTTTTAGTTCCAAGTTGTTTAAAGTTTGAGACTTCCAGTTCATATTGGTTACTTGAGAGGAAAAAAAGTGAGAAATAAACATTTTTTACACCGTTGACCTGATTCGCTGCACCAACTCGGAAATTTATATTGAAATTTTGTTAATCTATCATCATGCAGGACCCAACAACCTCACAAAGGTTGTCCACTTGTGTCTGCTTCTGAGTTTTATAATTGTTTTTGATCCGCAACTTGTGTTCTTTCGGCTGCAGATTTTGAAATAGTTTAAAGAAAGAACACATGGCTTTTTTATAAGATCTTAAGGTCATATTAGATCGACCTTTACCGTATTTTAGCTTCAAGCTTCCATGGAACATGTCAGAGTTATCTTCTTCTTCTTTGCTTGTGTCCTAACGCTTGCTCCATTTCATGCCTTTGCTCAGGTTGATTCCTATGAGTTTGATCCAGAATTCTACTGTCTTGATCGTGGCAACTTCACAGCTAACAGCACCTTTGCTGGAAATCTCAACCGCCTTGTCTCTTCTCTCTCCTCACTCAAATCCAAAGCTTATGGCTTCTACAACATGTCTTCTGGAGACTCATCTGGAGAAAGAGCTTATGCAATTGGTCTCTGTAGACGAGAAGTCAAAAGAGATGATTGTCTCAGCTGTATTCAGACAGCTGCAAGAAACCTCCCCAAACAGTGTCCACTGACAAAACAAGCTGTTTCATGGTACACACACTGTATGTTTCGTTACTCGAACAGGACAATCTATGGAAGAAAAGAGACGTTCCCGAATAGTTCTTTTATCGCGGGTGAAGAGATATCAGCAAACAGAGATGAGTTTGAGCGGCTGCAGAGAGAACTATTGAACAGACTCAAAGGAATTGCGGCGGCTGGTGGGCCGAATAGGAAATACGCTCAAGGGAACGGTTCGGCTTCTGCTGGGTACCGAAGATTCTATGGAACTGCGCAATGTACGCCTGATTTGTCTGAACAGGACTGTAATGATTGTCTAGTTTATGGATTTGAGAATATCCCACGTTGTTGTGATGCTGAGATTGGTCTTCGGTGGTTTTGTCCTAGTTGCAATTTCCGGTTTGAGACATGGCGATTCTATGAGTTTGATGCCGACCTAGAGCCTGATCCACCTGCAATCCAGCCTGCTGATTCACCAACATCGAGTGCAAGAAATGAGAGAATAGGTACATAGAAATACTTGGATGTCATTGTGTGTTCTGCTGTAGACGTTCCTAGCTGCAATGTTTTTGTCTCTAAGATTAAGGCAGTGAATGTTTACTGTAGGAAAGGGAAAAGGTGGATCTAAAGTCATTATCGCGATAGTCATCCCTATAGTTCTTGTTGCATTATTTGCAATTTGCCTATGCTTGGTCTTAAAGTGGAAGAAGAACAAGTCTGGAGATAGAGTCAAAGGTAACAAACTGTTCTTCTTGTCATCGTTATATTGTTAAAAGATGATTAGCTTTAATTCTTATAACTGCTATCTGCGTATTTAGTTCTTGGGCAATCACCTTTGTCGGGATCAATTGCTGAGGACGAGTTCTCGAACACTGATTCGCTGTTAGTTCACTTTGAAACTCTAAAGGCTGCAACAAATAACTTTTCTTCTGAAAACGAACTTGGACGTGGTGGGTTTGGTTTAGTTTATAAGGTATGTTTCTTCGACCAAATGACTTCTTACTGGTAACTTACGTTTGTTTATTTGCATAGATTTATGAATTTAGAATATGTATGCCTCAGGGTGTGTTCTCTCACGGGCAAGAAATCGCGGTGAAGAGATTATCAGGTACTTCTGGACAAGGAGACATCGAGTTCAAAAACGAAATTATACTACTTGCAAAGCTTCAACATAGGAACTTGGTTAGGCTTTTAGGTTTCTGCATACAAGGAGAAGAAAGACTCCTTGTCTATGAGTTCATAAAGAACGCTAGTCTTGACCATTTCATCTTTGGTAAAATATTCCGCCATTTACTCCATATGATCCTACCATTCTTTTTTCCCACTCTGTTTTGATCTTCTGCTGTTGCAGATATTGAGAAGCGTCAACTTTTGGACTGGGGAGTGCGATACAAAATGATTGGAGGAGTAGCTAAAGGACTTCTTTATCTTCATGAAGACTCTCGTTTCAGGATAATTCACCGTGATCTTAAAGCTAGCAACATTCTTTTGGACCAAGAAATGAATCCAAAAATAGCAGATTTTGGATTAGCTAAACTCTTTGACACAGGCCAAACCATGACACATCGATTCACAAACAGAATTGCAGGAACTTAGTAAGTTAATTCATCGTACTAACTTATTTTATCCAAGAAACACCGGTTTAAACCAGTTATCATTTCAATATGTAGCGGGTATATGGCTCCGGAATATGCAATGCATGGACAATTCTCTGTGAAAACAGATGTTTTCAGCTTCGGTGTATTAGTCATTGAGATCATTACAGGTAAGAGAAACAACAATGGTGGATCTAACAAAGACGAAGATGCAGAAGATCTTCTTAGCTGGGTAAGTACAGTATCCAAAACCAAACCAGTCATTGGGGTTTCAGTTTTGTTCATCGTGTTGATAAAATTTGTGATTCTGTTTTCTTTTTTCTTTTCTCTTACAGGTTTGGAGAAGCTGGAGAGAAGACACTATACTTAGCGTTATTGATCCAAGTTTAACCACGGGATCTAGAAACGAGATCTTGAGATGCATACACATTGGTCTTTTATGCGTTCAAGAGAGTGCAGCAGCTAGACCAACAATGGCTACCGTTGTTCTCATGCTCAATAGCTATTCTTTTACTCTCCCGACACCTTCGAGGCCTGCGTTTGTGTTAGAGAGTGTCATGCCTTCGAATGTTTCCTCCTCAACGGAAGGGTTACAAATGTCGTCAAATGATGTCACTGTTTCCGAGTTATCTCCTCGTTAATCTGTAAATGTTTTTGCTTGTGCTCTGAAAGCCTTTGTTAAAAAGATTTTGTTTTGTGTGAATTTTCAGGCAGCTTGGCTTGATCTTAATGTGAATAAACAGGCATCTTAAGCTGTGAGATACTTTTTCCTTTGTCTTATTGTTTTTTCTCTTTAAGTTTATCAAGTTCTAATTTCGTTATAGGTACAATTTAATAAAGTATATATACGTATATACAAATATAATCCATTATTACGAAAATTTAATAGTTCCTAGTTTGTTTGAAAACTACCAAACTTTCAGTTTCTTCCTGGTACGTGAGGGGAAAAGAAGTGAGCAATGGACACTTCTTACTTTAATATTCACGTGTTCACACCGTTGACTTGATTCTTTGCACCAAATCGTTGGCTTCATATTATAATCCTGGACCACCACACCCTAAGGCTCTAAAGACTGGCAACTTGTTTTTTTTATCAACGAGTTTTGTTCTTTCTGCTGTCGGATTTTAAATTAGTTCAAGGTTCAAAGACCACGCTGCTTTGAATGATTCCAACTTGACCTTTACAATATTAAGGCTCATTACGTTCTGGGGATTTCTCACAAGATTGATTACAGAAGAAGGAAAACACTTCAAGCTTCCATGGAACATGTTAGCTTTTTCTTTTTTGCTTGGTTCCTAACATTTGTACCATCTATTGCCTTAGCTGAGAAGGATGTCTATCAGTTTTCTCCAGTTTTCAACTGTGTACCTGGTGGAGGAAACTTCACGGCCAACAGTGCTTTCGCCGACAATCTCTACGGCCTTGTCTCCTCTCTCTCTTCACTCAAACCTGAAGCTTATGGCTTCTACAACCTTTCTTCTGGAGACTCATCTGGAGAAAGAGCTTATGCAATTGGTATGTGTAGAAGAGAAGTCACAAGAGATGATTGTCTCAGATGTATTCAGAATGCTGGAAGAAACCTCGCTGAGCAGTGTCCGTGGAGAAAACAACCTGTTGTGTGGTACACGCACTGTATGTTTCGTTACTCGAATAGGACACTCTATGGAAGAAAAGAGACAGCTCCGGCTAAGATCTTTATTGCGGGTAGAAACATATCATTATCAGCAAACAAAGATGAGTTTGATCGTCTGCAGCTAGAACTGATGGACAAACTCAAAGGGATTGCGGCAGCTGGTGGACCGAATAGAAAATACGCTCAAGGGAGCGGTCCGGGCGTGGCGGGATACCCAAAATTCTATGGAAGTGCGCATTGTACGCCAGATTTGTCTGAGCAGGATTGTAATGATTGTCTACTTTTTGGGTTTGAGAATATCCCACGCTGTTGTGATGGTCAGATTGGTCTTCGGTGGCTTGCTCCTAGTTGTAGCTTCAGGTTTGAGACTGGGAGATTCTATGAGTTTGATGCCGATCTAGAGCCTGATCCACCTGCTGCATCAGCTGCAAGAACTGGTACATTTACATTCTTGAATAATCTTTTCCACTGTTATCTGCAGATGTTTGTCTCTAAGATTTAAGGCAGTGATTGTTTTATTGCAGGAAAGAGCAGAGGTGGATCTAAAGTCTTTATCGTGATAGTCATCGCGATAGTTCTTGTTGCGTTATTTGCAATGTCCCTATGCTTGGTCTTGAAGTGGAAGAAGAACAAGTCTGTAGGTAGAGTCAAAGGTAATACATTCTTCTTTTTGTTGTTGTTCTCTTGCTATGAAGGATATGCCATTAATACTAAGATCAAATGCAGAGAATGAGTTCTCAGATTCACTGCTGGTTAACTTCGAAACTTTAAAGGAAGCAACAGATAACTTTTCACCAGAAAACGAACTTGGACGTGGTGGATTTGGCTCAGTTTATAAGGTAGGTTTCTTTGAGCAATAACTGTAATTTTGGATTGTCTTGAGAGAATTATAAAATTAGGATTATGCATGTCCTAGGGTGTGTTCTCGGGTGGGCAAGAAATCGCGGTGAAAAGATTATCGTGTACTTCAGGACAAGGAGATGTTGAATTCAAAAACGAAATTTTACTACTTGCAAAGCTTCAACATAGGAATTTGGTGAGGCTTTTGGGTTTCTGCATAGAAGGACAAGAAAGAATCCTTGTCTATGAGTTCATCAAGAACGCTAGTCTTGACAATTTCATTTTCGGTAATTTGTTTCCACCATTTTCTTTATATGATCCTACCAAAAGAATTTCCGCTCTGTGTTGATTTTTACGCTGTTACAGATGTTGAGAAGCGCCATCTTTTGGATTGGAGATTGCGATACAAAATGATAGGAGGAGTAGCAAGAGGACTTCTTTACCTTCATGAAGACTCTCGTTATCGGATTATTCACCGTGATCTTAAAGCTAGCAACATTCTTTTGGACCAAGAAATGAATCCGAAGATTGCAGATTTTGGATTAGCTAAACTCTTTGACACAGACCAAACTTCGACAAATCGATTCACAAGCAGAATTGCAGGAACTTAGTAAGTAAATTCATTTAACTTAGTAAATCCAAAACACACCGGTATAAATTAATCTGGTCATTTCATTTCAACTTGTAGCGGGTATATGGCTCCAGAATACGCGCTGCATGGACAACTCTCGGTGAAAACAGACGTTTTCAGCTACGGTGTACTACTCATTGAGATCATTACGGGTAAGAGAAACAGCAACGGTCTATCTAATGATGATGTGGATAGAGAAAATCTCCTTAGTTGGGTAAGCACACAACTAAACCGGTGGATTATATATATTTGAGGTTTCAGATTGATTTTTAACGTGTTAAAATGAACCTGTGATTTCTTAGGTCTGGAGAAGCTGGAAAGAAGACACTATACTAAGGGTGATCGATCCGAGTTTAACCACGGGATCAAGAAACGAGATCTTGAAATGCATACACATTGGTCTTTTATGTGTTCAAGAAAGTTCAGCGACTAGACCAACAATGGATTCGGTTGCTCTTATGCTCAATAGCGATTCTTATACGCTCCCAACACCTTCCAGGCCTGCCTTTGTGTTAGAGAGTGACATGCTCAAGAATGTTTCTTCTTCTACAGAACCGTTACTAATGTCGTCGAATGATGATGTCACTATTTCTGTATTATCTCCTCGTTAGGGAGCTTTCTCTTAATCTCTTAATCTGTATATGTTTCTGTTTCTTCTCTGAAATATTTTTCAGATACCTTTGCTTCATCTAGTTTTCCAAACCAGTAGATGTTACAGGTTTTTTCTACTACACATATATATCGTTAACGGTAAATATGCTTTTTTCAAATTCGACTTTACACAATGATTAAAATCATATAATCTATCGATATAACGCATGACCAAGCTTTTGTAGTGGACCCTTGGAGTATTTTAATTTCAAATGGAGGATGATGTTTCTTTATTAGTAGTTGTAGCCTAGTAGCCACATTCTCTCAAATCTCAATTAAACTAATACTAATGTTATAATGTAAAATAGTCACTTGTAATCAACTAATCCACTAAATGAATCAATCAATAATGTAAACTACAAACTCGATCTGGCATTGTATGAGTATCATTTATATACTTTAGTGTCACTTGCTACTGCACTGCACCCACTTGAGGTTTGGCCGCATCGATATCAGAAATAATTTAACGTCATGCAAAAATGTTTACTAATAGTAATGTTGGGTTATTAGATTTTAGGCGAGTAAACAACATTTAAAAGGAACAAAATTCGAAACAAAGATATGTAAAATATTTCACGTGCATTAGAATAAAGAGAAGACCTATCAAAATCAAATGTGCGATACTTTGACCACATGAGTCAATGTGGCGGCCAAAGGCAGCATGCATTTTAAGCATTATTATATAACTTAACAATATTCCAATCAAAATTTAGTATACAAAGCCAACTGCTCCACTTGCTTGACATTATTTCTGATTTCAATTTCGTTAACCACCTAGATTGTACAATATGATTATAGGAATATAGTATTACTTCTTCTAACTATTCTAATGTTGATAAACCATTTGTTAAATCCTCATCATTCTTAACTATTGAGAATGGACTAATAAAAGGATGTCCGAAGCAGTCCATAATATAAATGAATGGAATCTTGTAGGTAAGTTAAATTAAATTATCCAAAGTAGTAAAAGAAGATTTTATAAAACGTATTTTTCTTTCTAAATTAAAAAACTTGGACCGTTAAAAAATATGAAATATCTAATCCACCATATAAACTAACTCCGTCCAAAGACTTTTGGATGAAAAAGTTTCAAAACAATTAGGTCATCTCCCAATCACATAATTCTGCAGGTTGTATAATCTTGAAAAAGAACAAAAAAGGTAGATGAAGAAAAAAGAATTGAAAGAGAATAATAATACAATTGCAAAGATGATAATAATTCAAACAATTTGACCTTTTTTGTTACGCCAAAGACTATACAATATTTCTAGATTTTAATCCACTTTGGTCCAACCTGACAACACAAAATAAAGAAACTTCTCAACAGTCGCAAAACACACAGCAACTTTTACTTTTTTTTTTGTTAGTATACTTCTCCTTTGGCACCTCTCCAGTCTCCTCTCTAATTATTATCATCAATAAGGAAGCTTCCACCATTGTCACAGTTCCTCTGTTCCTCTTCTTTCATCTTTAAGCCAAAACCTCAAAACCAATCCTTTATTACCATTATTCTCACTTGGGTCTTCATCTCCAAGAGCAAACACCTAGAAAATGAGAAACTTTCACAAAACCTTCTATTTCTTCTTCTTCTTCTTCCTCTATGAATCTTCTAAGGCTGCAGATACAATCAGAAGGGGAGAATCTTTAAGAGACGGTGTCAATCACAAACCTTTAGTTTCTCCACTGAAGACATTCGAACTCGGATTCTTCAGTCCCGGAGCTTCCACGTCTCGCTATCTAGGGATCTGGTATGGGAACATCGAGGACAAAGCTGTGGTATGGGTAGCAAACAGAGAAACTCCTATTTCAGACCAATCTGGAGTTCTTACCATAAGCAACGACGGGAATCTCGTGTTATTAGATGGCAAAAACATTACAGTCTGGTCGTCAAACATCGAATCAAGCAACAACAACAACAACAACAACAGAATCGTTTCTATTCAAGATACAGGGAACTTTGTTTTGTCTGAAACCGACACAGACAGAGTTGTTTGGGAGAGTTTCAATCACCCAACTGATACTTTTTTACCTCAGATGAGAGTTCGTGTGAATTCTCGAACCGGAGACAATCCTGTTTTTTACTCTTGGAGATCTGAGACCGATCCTTCTCCTGGTAATTACTCATTAGGTGTTGATCCTTCTGGAGCACCAGAGATTGTGCTTTGGGAAAGGAACAAGACGAGGAAATGGAGAAGCGGGCAATGGAACTCTGCTATTTTTACTGGGATTCAGAATATGTCTCTGTTGACGAATTATCTATATGGGTTTAAGCTTTCGTCTCCACCAGATGAAACAGGTAGCGTGTACTTCACGTATGTTCCATCGGATCCATCTATGTTACTTAGGTTCAAGGTTCTTTATAATGGCACTGAAGAGGAGTTGAGATGGAGTGAGACTTTGAAGAAATGGACTAAGTTTCAGTCAGAGCCAGATACTGAGTGTGATCAGTACAATCGTTGTGGGAATTTTGGTGTTTGTGATATGAAGGGCCCTAATGGAATCTGTAGCTGTGTTCATGGTTATGAGCCAGTTTCTGTAGGGAACTGGAGCAGAGGTTGTAGAAGAAGAACGCCGTTGAAGTGTGAGAGGAACATTAGTGTTGGAGATGATCAGTTCTTGACTCTGAAATCTGTGAAGCTTCCTGATTTTGAGATTCCTGAACATGATCTTGTTGATCCCTCGGATTGCAGAGAGAGATGTCTGAAGAATTGTTCTTGCAATGCTTATACTGTTATTGGTGGTATTGGATGCATGATATGGAACCAAGATTTAGTCGATGTGCAGCAGTTTGAAGCTGGTGGATCCTTGCTTCATATCCGTGTTGCTGATTCCGAAATAGGGGAGAAAAAGAAATCCAAGATCGCGGTGATTATCGCAGTTGTTGTTGGTGTGGTTTTGTTAGGAATCTTTGCTCTGCTTCTATGGAGATTCAAGAGAAAGAAAGGTACTAATTTTTTACTCTTTCTTGATTTCTAAGTTTCCTCTATCTGAAGGATAAGATCTTCTTGATTAACATCTCTTTATTATCTGCTCAGATGTTTCAGGAGCATATTGTGGTAAGAACACAGATACATCGGTTGTTGTCGCTCAGACGATCAAGAGCAAAGAAACCACTTCGGCGTTTTCTGGATCTGTTGACATAATGATTGAAGGAAAAGCTGTTAACACATCAGAGTTACCTGTCTTTAGTTTGAATGCTATAGCCAAAGCTACTAATGACTTCCGCAAAGAGAATGAGCTTGGAAGAGGCGGATTCGGACCAGTCTACAAGGTTGGTTGATTGCACCCATTTTGTAGACAAAGTTTGTGTTTCAGGTTTATGATGTTTTTGTTGATTATTGAGATGTGTTTCTCTTTGGTTCAGGGTGTTCTTGAAGATGGGCGTGAGATAGCTGTGAAGAGATTGTCTGGTAAATCTGGACAAGGAGTTGATGAATTCAAGAATGAGATCATTCTCATAGCGAAGCTTCAACATCGGAATCTTGTGAGATTACTTGGATGTTGCTTTGAGGGTGAAGAGAAAATGCTTGTTTATGAGTATATGCCTAACAAGAGCTTAGACTTCTTTCTCTTTGGTATGTTTACTTCTAAAGATCGAAAAATAAATAAGTATTTCCTTTCATTATTCTTATTGTTGTTCTTTTGAATGTACAGATGAAACGAAACAAGAGTTGATAGACTGGCAACTGCGGTTTTCGATCATTGAAGGGATTGCGAGAGGGTTGCTTTATCTTCATAGAGACTCAAGATTGAGAATCATTCATAGAGATTTGAAGGTTAGCAATGTGTTGTTAGATGCAGAGATGAATCCAAAGATCTCAGATTTTGGTATGGCAAGGATCTTTGGTGGTAACCAAAATGAAGCTAACACTGTTCGGGTAGTTGGAACTTAGTAAGTAAAAAACAGAATCTCAAAAACAGAGCAAATGTTTCCTTTGAATGAGAAAAACATGTTCATAACAATTTATCTTTTGTATTTGTGAATTTAGTGGATACATGTCTCCAGAATATGCGATGGAAGGACTTTTCTCGGTAAAATCCGATGTTTACAGCTTCGGTGTCTTGCTGCTTGAGATAGTAAGTGGGAAGAGGAACACAAGTCTTCGATCTTCTGAACATGGAAGCCTCATTGGTTATGTAAGTTTACCAAAAACTAAGAGTAAAGACAGTAGTTCTGATTTTGAATCCATGATGAATCCTCTAACTGGTTTGAAGAGTTTTGCAGCTATTTATATGCAAACTTTGGTTTATATGGTCTAACTAATGGTGGACACTGAAATGGTTTGCAGGCTTGGTATTTGTATACTCATGGGAGATCAGAGGAGCTTGTGGATCCGAAGATTAGGGCCACTTGTAATAAACGTGAGGCCTTGAGGTGCATACATGTGGCGATGCTTTGTGTTCAAGATTCAGCTACGGAGAGACCAAACATGGCTGCAGTTTTGCTCATGTTAGAGAGTGACACTGCGACGCTCGCAGTGCCAAGACAGCCAACGTTTACTTCCACCAGAAGAAACTCCATTGATGTCAACTTTGCTCTTGATTCGAGCCAACAATACATAGTTTCTTCTAATGAGATCACTTCCACAGTTGTTCTTGGACGATAAGATTCTTTTTTTTCCTTGTAAAGTTCTTTATTATTATTGTGAAAACGTATTATTTTTTTCTTGGTTAATTAGGATAATAGAGTTTAATTGTTTATTGAAATCATGTTGATAAAGTGAAAAATATGAATGCTTTTTTTGTTTTCTGATGTTGGAATTTTGTTCACATATATAGAATTAATCAAGGGGGTGTTGCAAAAGTTATCCACTCATTTTTCCATACCTTCAAAAAACACCACAATTACTAGTGTTTTTCATATTACAAAAATACTATTAGCAAATAGTAATCAACTTAAAACAAAAAAATAGTAAGATTAATCATCAAACAAATATTAATCTATATAATAAAATGATAGTGCTGAAAAGTATTTAAATTAATTAATGGTATTTGTTGAAAAGATGTCCATCATAATAGTTTGTAAATATATACTTCAAACATTGGAGGATTGTGTATTAATTAAAATCAAAATTTGATTCGATTATATATTTAATGCGAAAATACGAAATCATGTAATTAGAAGCCTCTTATGTACAAATCAAACGAAGAAAGAAGACTAGTGAGGATGTTCAAATTAAAAGACTTCTTGAGCTTTGACTTTGATTATCAATCTTCGAACATTTTATCAAAACATCTTTGGTTGGTGAAAAAAATGTATTGAACTGTTTGGATGTTTTAGCTTTGTATGTCTCTATGTTAACATTAACAAAAGTTTCCTCTCCTCAAAGCTCCAATCCAACGATCCTATATATATATATATATATTTTTTTTTTGATAAACCCTATCGCTGATCCGGTCAGTCCCGGTAGAAACGCACGAAAGTACTTCAGAGTGAATTTCTCTCCAAAGGGGCACCACACTGTCTGTCCCGAGTTTGGAATGCTTTCCGACTAATGTCAGGGGTAGTCACCGCCTGCATTTCTGACTACCAGGTAAACCAACTGGGTCTTCCCACACAACCATGATTTTTGTTTACAGGGTGATCGAACATGGGTTAGTTCCTTCCAACCTTTCCCCAATTCTCCCTTACCACTGGACCACGGCTGTGCGGGCAACAATTCTATATATCTTAACTTATTAATTAAATCGTCAAACAAAATGCGTAGTCTTCGTTTTCTCCAACCTTGTTTTTGATGAGGAATGATATAATGTAATTCAGATGTATATTTATTATCAAGTTTTTGACCAATTATTATACTATTGGTTGGAAAATCACATTTAGTGTTAGACAAAAAAAAAATTCAGGAAAACGTGGATCGACCCCTTCTTCTTCTTTTTTATGTCTTCGGAGACGATTGAAGTTAATATTTGGGAACGAGACAAAGACTAAAAAGAGATACTGTATTTATTACAAGGAAAACAAATTGAACACTGTTTTTCATATAACTCCCGGACATGCATGCATTACATACGGGTTGACTAATAATCATGTAATGGGAAAATACGAAAAAAAAAAAGAAGCTGAAACCGTAAGATATATCTTCACGAACTGGTGCAATGTGTCGTAGTCTCTTTAATCCCCAAACTGATGTTCTGGTTCAGACGCAACACGCAACTGTTTGGTTCAGTTGCGTAGTTCTGGCCTTGTGGCCTATACATACATGTATTTTTTTAGCAACTTAAGATTTTCCATAAGGATACATTTATTTAACTAAGAAAATTACAGCAAAAGCTCTTATAATTGTAAAATTATAATCAAAATCTACTTGTATAAAAGTAATCGAAGCCTGACAACAGACAGAAAAAAAAGAAGGCATATTAAGAAAATAAATCAGAAAAAGAGAAAAGGAAGAAACGCTCAAAAATAAAGAAAAAAAACGAGTTGTAAAAAAAGGAAAAGAAGGCTGACAAGTGACAACAGAAAAGGGAAAAAAGGAACTTTCTATTCGCTATGTCAACTCTGAGTTGGACTCTGTACATACAACATAGTACTCAACACATTCCAGAAAACATAAAAAGCAAGACAAGAGAATATAATATTTCACAGAAATAAATGATGTATTACGTTAAAGATTTATATTAACATAGAGCCAACCGTAAAAAATGGAAACTTCTGAACCCCTTTAAGCATCTGTATATGCGTTAGTTTTATTTGTAAAAATATATATTATAACAAAACAGAAAATATTCACAAATTCAATTTTTTTAAAAAATATATACTTTTCTAATTCTATTTTTTTGGGAGATTATTTCTTTTTTCGGATTGCGGATTTCATAGAAATCCCTAAACGTAGGTTCAAAATATCATATTCATAAACTATTATAGCATAACTAGTATATTGTTAAAGGTGAAAGAATAACTAGGGGCATGGTTGGGGATCCAATTAGGGGATCAACATTGGGGATTGTTCTTAGGATGTACAAAAATGGATGTAAGTGGCAATCAAGACTTGTTCACTATATACTAACATGAAATCTCAACTTATGTTCGAAGCGTGGTGTCTGGTCAGGAGTCAACTAATAAGGTTTTTTTGTATAAATATGAAGTTAAAAAGGCTGAACTGCAAGTCGCGCCCCACCTTTATTGGAGAAGAAAGAATTACGAGTGACGACGGTTTTTTTAAAACTCCGTCCGTATTCATTGCCAATCATCAAGTTAAAATTTTATTTCTCTTTTGTTAAAAACAAAATACAATATAAGACAACAAAATTATTTAAACAAATGACATTTCCGTTACGCCGTATTTTAACGCATTAGAAAGATATTAAGAGAGTTTAAAGTTAACAACAATATCTTGTATTAAAAATAATTTTTTGGAATACATCCGCCATTCATAAACTTTTATGGTCCACAATATATGATATCTCAAAAAGGAAAATCTCATAATCTCCTAAAAGAATATAGGAATTCAAATTTATCTTTTGGTATAGAGACATGAGAGGGTGAACTTGTGAAGTACCAAACTTCTATCTTACATTTACTTTGTAATGGGGAAGAAATAACTACGAGTAACAACGGGTTTTTTCAAAGAAGCTCTATAATTCCGAAAAAGCTCTACAGTTCCGTCTTTATTCAGTGTCAATTATCACGCTTAATTAAAATTTATTTCTCTTTCGTTAAGAACAAAAAAAATAAAAAGCCAAAAATCAACATAAGGCCAAATATTGTTAAAACATATGGCATTTCCATTACATCGTTTTTGTTTTTAAGCATTAGAAGGAAATAAAGGGAATTAAAAGCAAAGGATGTTATGTCGTATTAAAAAAATATTACAGTATATATGTATCTACCATTTTATAAACTTTTGTAGTCCAAAAAATTCCGATATCTCCAAAGAAAAAAAGAAAATCTCATAATCTCTTCAAGAAAGAGAAGGAAAAAAAAAAAGGTTATTGGTGTAGAAAACATGAGAGGTGAAGTACCAAACTTCCACTATTCTTACACCTTCTTCGTCTTCCTCCTCTTCTTGATTCTGTTCCCTACTTTCTCCATCTCTTCCAACACTTTGTTGACTACAGAGTCTTTAACAATCTCAAGCAAGAAAACCATTGTATCTCCTGGTGATGTCTTCGAGCTTGGTTTCTTCAAACCCGGTTCAAGCTCTCGTTGGTATCTTGGGATTTGGTACAAGACAATCTCTAAGAGAACCTATGTATGGGTTGCAAACAGAGACCATCCTCTCTCTAGCTCCATTGGAACTCTCAGAATCTCCGACAATAATCTCGTCGTTTTGGATCAGTCGGAAACACCGGTTTGGTCGACGAATCTGACCGGTGGAAGTGTGAGCACTCCGGTGGTGGCAGAGCTTCTTGATAATGGTAATTTCGTGCTTAGAGACTCTAACAACAACAATCCAGATGGATACTTGTGGCAGAGTTTTGATTTCCCGACAGATACTTTACTTCCCGAGATGAAGCTTGGTTGGGATCTCAAAACCGGGTCCAACAGATTGATTCGATCATGGAAACGCCCGGATGATCCGGCAAGTGGAGATTTCACGTTTAAACTCGAAACCGGAGGGTTCCCTGAGATTTTTCTTTGGTACAAAGAGTCACTAATGTACCGGAGCGGTCCATGGAACGGAATCCGGTTTAGTGGTGTACCGGAGATGCAACCATTTGACTACATGGTTTTCAATTTCACAACGAGTAGTGATGAGGTGACTTACTCATTCCGAGTCACTAAAAGCGACGTTTACTCGAGGGTAAGCCTAAGCTCCATGGGAGTGTTACAAAGATTCACATGGATTGAGACAGCACAGACTTGGAACCTATTCTGGTACGCACCGAAAGACCAATGCGACGAGTACAAAGAGTGTGGTGCGTATGGTTACTGCGACTCGAACACATCACCGGTTTGTAATTGTATAAAAGGGTTTAAGCCGAGGAATCCGCAAGTGTGGGGGTTGAGAGACGGGTCGGATGGGTGTGTGAGGAAGACGTTGTTGACATGTGGTGGTGGAGATGGGTTTGCGAGGTTGGAGAAAATGAAATTGCCTGATACTACGGCTGCGAGTGTGGACAGAGGAATTGGTGTGAAAGAATGTGAACAGAAGTGTTTAAAGGATTGTAATTGTACAGCGTTTGCTAATACAGATATACGTGGTGGCGGGTCAGGTTGTGTGATATGGACCGGGGAGCTTTTAGATATCAGAAATTACGCAAAGGGTGGTCAAGATCTTTACGTTAGATTGGCTAATACTGATCTCGGTTAGTTCTTTCTCCATTATCTTCTTTAGGTTAGATTGGGATGCTAATGACGTGTTTGGTTTTCGTATGCCACATTATTACTTTTGCTAAGTAACGGTTGATAGTGTAATGCCACAAGACTTGTTTCGTAATTAATTCTTTCAAATTGGTTGTTTGATAATGCGCTTTTTTTTTTTTGGTAGAACTTTAGACTAGTGTAGAATATTGCAAGTCAAAGTTACATTGTTATGGTTTAACAGACTTTGAGAAAAAAAAATTGGATCAACACCGACTTTGAATTTAACAAAACGTTTTTCAGTTCTATTTTTCCTCTTTTTTAAAACTTCTTAAACTTGTTTGCGATGTTGACTTTATGTGAAAGCATTTGTGATAGTTAAATAACTAAGGTCAAATGGAATTTAATCTTCTTTTAAAACATACAACACATTAGTGAAACTTTTGATACTCACAAAAACTTATATATTTCAAGAATAGTGTGATAAAGGTAGATCCAATGTCAAAAGACGACTATTTATGTTTTTTTTTATATATATATAGAAACTTCGAAGCAATTATATTATTTTGTTTCTCACTTTTTCTATACACTTATTTTAAAATCAAAAGTACGAAAATGTTTACTAATAAAGATTTTTTATTTTTAACACTACCTAGAATCATATAACTAATTTAAATTTCTTTGAAAGATGTAAAATATAAATCATTTTCTTGGTCGTGGTCTTAAATGTCGTATTTATATTTTATAGTAGTTGAAAGGAAAGAAAAACAAGTAATGTGATATATGAGTCAGCAAGCCACGTCACCTGGTAGGAGATTAACTTGTATTGGTATCTATTTTATGTTAGATGACACGAGAAACAGAAATGCAAAACTCATTGGTTCGAGTATTGGAGTGAGCGTTTTGCTTCTTTTAAGTTTCATCATCTTCTACTTTTGGAAAAGGAAGCAGAACCGATCAATAGCAATTGAAACACCTAGAGGTAAATTAATATCTTAATTTCTTTATGTTTATCTTTACATTTTGATAATCATCTATCTTGACTGTTTTTGGTGTCTGAATGAAATTGTAGATCAAGTGAGAAGCCGAGATTTTCTAATGAACGACGTAGTATTATCGAGTAGGAGGCACATATCTAGAGAAAACAATAGTGACGATCTTGAATTGCCATTGATGAAGTTTGAAGAAGTTGCCATGGCCACAAAATTTTTTTCTAACGACAACAAGCTTGGACAAGGTGGTTTTGGCATAGTTTATAAGGTACAAATGATTGAAATACTTAATTTAGAATCTATCATTGGATAATTTCGTTGTGTAATAAAATGTCGGGTTACAGGGAAGGTTACTTGATGGTCAAGAAATCGCGGTGAAGAGACTATCAGAGACATCATCTCAGGGAATTGATGAGTTCAAGAATGAGGTGAAATTGATTGCAAGGCTTCAGCATATAAATCTTGTTCGGCTTCTTGCATGTAGCGTCGATGTGGACGAGAAGATGTTGATTTACGAGTACCTGGAGAATCTAAGCCTTGATTCTCATCTATTTGGTTAGTTGCCTCAGCTTCTTACAACTCCGTTTTAACAGTTGAATGTCTTTGGGAAGAATGTACTCAATTAGGTCATGATTCATTTGCAGACAAAAAACAAAGCTCTAAGCTAAATTGGCAAATGAGATTTGATATTATTAATGGTATTGCTCGAGGGCTTCTATATCTTCACCAAGATTCGCGGTTTAGGATCATCCATAGAGACTTGAAAGCGAGCAACGTCTTGCTTGATAAATATATGACTCCAAAGATCTCGGATTTCGGGATGGCTAGGATCTTTGGAAGGGATGATACAGAATCTATCACGAGGAAGGTGGTCGGAACCTAGTAAGCAATCATTCTCCAAAATACCAAAATCTTTGTTTTAGGTCTCAACTAAAAAAAAGAAAGAAAAAAAAAACTCATAAGTTTGAGTCTAATCTTTGTTATGCAGCGGTTACATGTCTCCTGAATATGCAATGGATGGGATATTTTCAGTGAAGTCAGATGTTTTCAGCTTTGGGGTCTTGCTTCTTGAGATCATAAGTGGCAAGAGGAACAAAGGATTCTACAATTCGGACCGTGATGTTAATCTTCTCGGTTGCGTAAGCTACAATCCTCTCAAACTTGATCTTGTTTCCCACTCAAGAATTTAATGATAACACTAGGAAAATTTATATGATTGTAAACAGGTGTGGAGGAACTGGAAAGAAGGAAAAGGACTAGAGATCATAGATCCGATCATCGCAAATTCTTCATCAACGGTCAAGCAACATGAAATCTTAAGATGCATCCAAATTGGTCTGGTGTGTGTTCAAGAACGTGCAGAGGACAGACCAACGATGTCCTTGGTAGTTTTGATGCTTGGAAGCGAATCAACGACTATACCTCAGCCTAAACTACCTGGTTATTGCCTCCGGAGGAATCCTGTTGAAACTGATTTTTCGTCGAATAAACGGCGTGATGATGAACCGTGGACAGTGAATCAAATTACTGTCTCAGTCCTTGACGGTCGATGATTTAAACGTCCGAGCCAATCTGTGTAGAGGCATACTATCTGTCTCTGTAGTGAGCCTCGATAGCAAAGTATTACAACATGATTGACTAGTTTTTTCCATTTCTATTCCTTTTTACTTATCATCTAATTTACTATTAAAGGAAACTTCCTAACTTTTTTGTCATTGTTTTGTTTTTTTGACATCCAAAAAAGAAAAACCTTGGAATCAATGTCAAGAGGACTCACCCTCTGGAATGTCAAGAGGACTCCTTCTCAGTAATGTCATCAAGAGGATTCCTCCCCAGGAATTTCATGAAAATAAAAATCCTTGGAATCATGATGTCATCCTTTCACTTTTATATTAAGATAAATTAAACAAGTACAAGAGTCAAAAGAGTGTTTAGTACAATAGATTACAAGAGGTTGTGTAACTGTGTTCTAGCTGTCTTTGCTACTTCGTCTGCTTAATCATTTATACAAGCTTGTTCTTTGCAAACTTGAGTAGACGTTTCTGATGGTTGTGTGAATCCAACTTGGAATGTCATCATGAAGGAATATCATCATAATTAAATACTAATCTGCAGTCCAAATTCTACTATTATATAGTCTTTCTATTAATTCATTCAATCAAGGATGATCCCATGTATTTAATTGAGCATGTAGATGAATAGTGCAAAAAATATAAAGAAGGTATGCCTATATTGTTTGTAACTATTTATATTTGTAACCAAATCTAGATTTAGACCTGCACGTACGTACGGAGTTGATTTCAAAAACTAAGTTTGTAATAAATTACATAAATATGGATTGTGTTAATAACAATTCATAATCAAATCTTGTGCCAATTTAATATTTGATTTGTTTTTACACCGGTTTAGACAAAAAAAAATGATCAATTTTATTTTTTGCTATGAGAAAAGATAAATACATTAAAAATGATAAGAGAAAAGTGGTATGTCTATTTTGGAACGGAAACCCGTCCCGTCTCTTATATATCATGTAAATATATTTTCCAACAAAAAAATTTCAGTAATTTCTTAAAAACCTTGTAAATATTTCTAAAATCCTTACAAAAATCTATTAAATGCCTAGTAAATCCTTTAAAAGTCATCCAAAATCTTTAAAAACTCTAATAAACCTTTTAAAACCTTTGTAAATCCTTTAATAACTTTTATAAACACTTGTACGTCCCTTTCAAAACTCTTATAACTGTTGTAAATCCTTTCAAAATTTTTATAAACACTTGTAAAATCCTGTAAAACTCTTATAAATTTCTTTTTAAAATCTTTGTAAATCTTTATAAATCTTTGTAAAACCATTTAAACCCTTGTAAATATTTTCATAACTATTTAAAAATCCTTAATAAAATTTTGAAAACCTTTTAAAATATTTTTAAAATCCTTATAAACCTCTAAATCCCCTTAAAAACCTTTAAAAACCGTTGTAAACTTCTATAACTATTTAAAGATCCTTTTAAATATTATTAATACTAGTTAAAGACCATTGTAAATTTTTTAAAAACTCAAAAAACCTTGTAAATCCTTGTAAATTTTTTAAAAAATATTTTAGAAACCGTTTAAAAAACCTTGTAACATTTTAAGCTATAACGCTTAACCGAATTGACAGTTATAGTTCTTTTTCGTCCAGCCCAACCTTCTGTTTGTCAAACTTGACGTACAATACATAAATTTCTACCATACTTAGAACATATCGAAGGGTGTAGTTGACAGCACCACACATGCTAAATGTATCAAAACATATGTTATGTTGGCCGTCAAAGATTCCACGAGTTAGATTTGAAGGTACGTACATCTTTTGACCTATGACAAAAATTTGGTAAATGAGTTAATTGAAGTGATGCAAAAGTCATGAAATGATGAAAAATGTGTTTTGCTTCTGCTGGGAAGTTGAAAATAAATAAATATACGATATTTGATGAACCTAACTTAATTTTTAGAGAAAATAATGTAATTTAAATTTTCATTGGCTTTGTCAATCCAGAATATGTGTACATAAAAAGAAACGAACAAGAAAAGCGAAGAAACAATGATAGTTGAGAGAGAGATGAGAGGTTTCCGAAATATCAACCACTATTCTTACACCTTCTCATTTTTACTCGTCTTCGTTATGTTAATTCTGGTTTGTCCTGCGTACTCGATCAATGCCAATATTTTGTCATCTACCGAATCTCTCACAGTCTCAAACAACCGAACTATTGTGTCTCCTGGTGGCCTCTTCGAGCTTGGTTTCTTCAAACCTGGTACAAGTTCTCGTTGGTATCTTGGTATTTGGTACAAGAAAACACCAGAAGAAACCTTCGTCTGGGTTGCAAATAGGGACAGGCCTCTCCCAAATGCCATGGGAACCCTTAAACTCTCTGACACTAACCTCGTCCTCCTTGATCACTCCAATACCCTTGTTTGGTCTACGAATCTGACTAGAGGAGATAGGAGATCTTCAGTGGTTGCAGAGCTTCTTGCTAATGGAAATCTCGTGCTTAGATACTCTAGCAACAGTAACCCAAGTGGATTCTTATGGCAAAGCTTCCATTTTCCAACAGATACTTTGCTCCCGCAGATGAAACTGGGCTGGGATCGCAAAACAGGGCGTAACATATTCCTTAGATCATGGAGAAGTTCAGACGATCCGTCCACGGGGAAATTCTCATACAGACTCGAAACTCGAAGTTTCCCTGAGTTTTTTATCTGGCAGACAGACGTACCAATGTACCGGAGCGGTCCTTGGGACGGTGTCCGGTTTAGTGGGATGGTGGAGATGCGAGATTTAGACTACATGGTTTATAATTTCACTGATAACCAAGAAGAGGTCGTATACACGTTTCTAATGACCAACCACGACATCTACTCGAGATTGACAATGAGTCCCTCTGGAAGTTTACAACAAATCACGTGGAAAGACGAGGATCGGATTCTGTCATGGCTTTCACCTACAGACCCATGCGACGCGTACCAGATTTTGTGGTCCTTACAGTTACTGTTACCTAAATACGTCTGCATTCTGTAGCTGTATTAAAGGGTTTGAGCCAAAGATTCAGGAGGCGTGGGCGGTAAATGACGGTACAAGTGGGTGTGTACGAAAGACGCGGTTGAGCTGTACTAGTGGAGATGGGTTTTTCAAGTTGAAAAATACGAAGTTACCAGATACAACATGGACGATTGTTGATAAGAGTATCGACGTGGAAGAATGTAAGAAGAGGTGCCTCAGCAATTGTAATTGTACGGCGTATGCAAATACAGATATTCGTAATGGTGGATCAGGCTGTGTGATTTGGACCGGAGTGCTTAAGGATATCCGAAATTACCCCGCCACAGGTCAAGAACTTTATGTCAAATTGGCCCGTGCTGATCTTGGTTAGGTTTTTCCATCCTTAAACTAAACTTTGATTGGATTTCCTGTTCTGGAGTTACCAAGATATTTTCGCATGTAGATCCAAATCTAGATCCATAAAATCTAATTAAATTAATATCATAAAACTTTGATATGAATATGACAGTGTTGTTGACCAAAAAATATATATATATATGACAGTGTTATATTAATAACATCAAAAAAATGTCCACCCATAAAGATACAATATGTTTTATTATTATATTTAAAGCATATAAATCCTTGTAAATTTTGGAATTAACTATCAAATTTATATATTTATATAATTTAACAAAAATTACAAAGTATAATATTAAAAACGATTATAAATGATATAAAAAAATTGTTAATAAGAACAGATGTAAGAATACGTTATTTAAACAAATCTATGGACGTTTAATTATTAACGGTATTAAAATCATTATTATAACGTTAAAGATTTAGAAAAATTGTAACTCATAAAAATAATAATAGAATAATAAAATCACACCACCAGTCCGGCAGTCACAATATGGTACATGTGATATACAATTTTTAGGATAAGGGGATCATTACTAATTATGCCACGTTAGTAGTTATAGTCGACCAACTTGTCTTGTTTTTTCCCCTAATAAAGACAAACTGGATTTATTTTTATTCTTTGAAAGTTTTTTTGGGATGCAATACCTTCACTTTTTTTTTTTTTTTTTTTTTTTCAGAGGACGGAAACAGAAAGGGAAAAGTAATAGGTCTGATCGTAGGAATCAGTGTTATTCTTTTTTTTTCTATGTTTCATAGCGTTTTGCTTTTGGAGAAGGAAACAGAAGCAAGCAAGAGCTATTCCGGCACCTTTTGGTAAATTAGTAATGATCTTCAAATTGGTTTATACGTGAATTTTTTTTTGGGGATTGATTATTTATGAAAACAGCTTATGAAGAGAGAAACCAAGATTTGTTGAATAACTGGATGGTAATATCAAGCAGAAGCCACTTTTCTCGAGAAAACAGAACAGACGAACTAGAACTTCCGCTGATGGAGATCGAAGCTATTATCATAGCCACCAACAATTTTTCTCATTCCAACAAGATCGGAGAAGGTGGTTTTGGTGTCGTGTACAAGGTTAAAAATTACAAAATACGATAAACATAGACATATATTATTTTACTGGATTATGTTTTCATATAACTCGTGGAATATATGATATCAGGGAAACTTACTTGACGGACAAGAAATTGCAGTCAAAAGACTTTCCAAGACGTCCATTCAAGGGACCAATGAGTTCATGAACGAAGTGAGGCTAATAGCAAGGCTTCAACACATAGATCTTGTCCGACTTCTTGGTTGCTGCATTGACACAGACGAGAAGATCTTGATCTATGAGTACTTGGAAAATTTAAGCCTCGATTCTTATCTATTTGGTTAGTGCCTTACTTTTGTAACTCTATATTAGACATTTTTTATGCCATTCAGAACAATTTCATACGTTTTCTGTTATGATTAATTTAGACAAAACTCGAAGCTATATGCTAAATTGGCAAATGCGATTTGATATCACCAATGGTATTGCTCGAGGACTTCTTTATCTTCACCAAGATTCACGGTTTAGGATCATCCATAGAGACTTGAAAGCAAGCAACGTCTTGCTTGATAAATATATTACTCCGAAGATCTCAGATTTTGGGATGGCAAGGATCTTTGGAAGGGACGAGACTGAAGCTAACACGAGGAAAGTAGTCGGAACTTAGTAAGTAATCATTCTCTAAAACAACCAATAATTTTGTCTTAGTTTAAAAATCATAATTTTATGAGTTTAATCTT